TAATTCCCTCAAGGTCCATCCATGTTATTGCAAATGGAATGATTTTGTTCTGTTTTACAGCTGAGTAGTATTCCATTGTACATATGTACCACATCTTCTTTATCCATTCGTCTGTTGCTGGGCACTTAGGTTGCTTCCATGTCTTGGCTATTGTAAACAGTGCTGCAATAAACATTGGGGTGCGTAGGACTTTTGGGATTGCTGGCTTCAAACTCTTTGGATAAATACCCCATAGTGGGATGGCTGGATCGTATGGTAGTTCTATTTTTAGTTTTTTGAGGAATCTCCATACTGTTTTCCATAGTGGCTGCACCAGTTTGCATTCCCATCAGCAGTGAAGATATACCTTTTTTTTAATGGCTGCTCTCAAGGTTATAAGAACGTCATGATAGTCAATTTACAGTGAATTCCACTTTTGTGCCATTGCTTTTGTATATTTTATATCTATATATATAACACTTTTTACATATACATATGTAATAAATCCCACAGTAAAATGTATTTTTTTCTATTAAGTGGTCAGTTGTCTTTCAAAAAAATTAAAAGAAAAAAAAGATAGTGGTTTTTTATTGAGGAAGATAGGCGCTGAGCTAACATCTGTGCCCATCTTCCTCTACTTTATATGTGGGACGCCTACCACAGCATGGCTTGATAAGCGGTGCCATGTCCACACCCGGGATCCAAACCAGCAAATCCTGGGCCACTGCAGCTTGCGAACTTAAGCGGCCCCAGAAAAAAAGACATGTTTTCTATTTACCCAAATATCTACCATTTCCAGTGCGTAACCATTTTAATTTCTTCCATAGGTTTGAATTTCCATCTAGTATTATATGGCTTCAACCTGCAGAACTTCCTTTATCATTTCCTGTGATGCAGGTCTAACTTTTGATGAATAAAATGTCTTTATTCTGTCCTCATTTTTGAAGGATATTTTAGCTAGATACAGAATTCTGGGTTGACAGGGTGGTTTATTATTCCTCTTTTTTCCAGCATTTTAAATATATTGTTCCATTGTCACCTGGCTCCCATTGTTTGTGATGCAAAGTCAGCTGTAATTGGTACTATTGTTCCCCTGTATTTAATGTATTTTTTTCCCTCCTTTTTTTTCTTTATGTTTGTTTTTTGGCAGACTACAATATGGTATATTTGTATTTATCTTGCTTTGGGTTTGCTGAATTTCTTGGATCTACAAGATGGCATTTTAAAATAACACTGGGGGAAAATTCGGCCACAAAGTAGAAACCACCCAGATATCCATCAGCTGATGAATGGATAAACAAAATGTGCTATGTCCATACAATGGACTATTATTTGACAATAAGAAGGAATGAAGCACTGATATGTTCTACAACTTGGATGAACCTTGCAAACATGTAAGTAAAAGAGGCATTCACAAAAAACCACATATGTATGATGCCATTTATATGAAACGTCTGAGCAGGCAAATCTATCGAGACAGAAAGCACATTAGTGGGTGCCTCAGGCTGGTGGGGAGAGGGGGAATACAGGGGGAATGTGAGGGGTTGCAAGTTTTCTTCTTGGGGTGTTCTAAAACTGTCTGAAATGTTCTAAAATTGATTGTGAAGACGGTTGTGTAACTCTGTGAATATGCTGGAAGCCAACGAATTGTACACTTTAAATGGGTGAATTGTATAACATATGAATAATATGTCAATAAAACTGTGACAAAAAAGAAAAAAGAAAGAAGCCAGGTCTCCTAACTCACAATTCTGGTTTTTTTAATACTATGCTTAATATTTCACAATTTATTTGTTGTTTATATTTATATGGTTTTAAATTGTATTTACTTAAATACATTTAATAATTAATAAAAAATAAATTTAAATTTTATTTAAATAGAGTTTATTTTCATAAATTTATATGGCTTTAAATTTTATTTATTTAAATAAGTATATTAAATAAATATAAATATAGGGCTTTTAATTGTCCTATATTTTTTCTCAGGTGCTTTTAAGGAACACGACCAATATAGCAACCAATATATCAAATAGTACATAGAGATGTATTTGGATTTAAAAATGACATATAAGTGAATCCTCATAATTACAAATAATAGTCATCAAAATGGTAGTTTTTTTTTAAATAAGACTTTATAGGGGCTGGCCCCCTGGCCAAGTGGTTAAGTTCGTGCGTTCCACTTTGGCGGCCCAGGGTTTCACCAGTTTGGATCCTGGGTGCGGACATGGCACTGCTTGTCAGGCCATGCAGAGACGGCATCCCACATGCCACAACTAGAAGGACCCACCACTAAAATATACAACTACGTACTGTGGGGATTTGGGGAGGAAAAGCAGAAAAAAAAAAAGAAGATTGGCAACAGTTAATAGCTCAGGTGCCAAAAAAAAAAAACGACTTTATAGCTGACAACTGGTTTAACACCCATCATCTCCCGTGGTTTTCTTCACACCTCTGAGGTAGTCAGGGAAGGTGGTAGTTCTCCCATTTTTCACACCAGGAAACTGTGGTGAGCCCAAGGCAACACACATTTCTCACTCACCCAGGAGCTTACTGTAAATCTAGCACTCCTCTACACTATGCCAAAAGACTAATTCTCTCTCTCTCTTCTACTTTTTCTCTTAACTAAGTTTTTTCTAATGCAGAACTTTTTTTCCTCTTTTTTCACTGACATATTAAATACCAGAGGGGAAAAGTAGAGTCAAGGACAAACAGAAATACAATCACTTCCTTTAACTCTTATTTCTGAGGAAATTGAGTTGAGAGCACTGTCCAATAGGGGCAAATTTACAGCACCATTGTCTCCAAATAATTCTATGGTTACTTCCATTTAGATAAATCAACTTTTGAGCAGAGAATAATTTTTCATATCTATCATATAAAGTCTAATTATATTTGTTGGATGTGCATATGTATTAAAAGTCTCTGATGTGCTCTGTTCAGTTACTAGGTCAGTAACTACTTTTATTCCATAGTTTTCTGTACTAAAAGGTTTTGTCTAATCTCAAAAATACTATGTCCTTAATTAGTACAGCTGATCTTTGGAAGAAATCTCTATTTCTGGCAAACAACTTAAGGTAAATCTTTACAGGTCTGTGTGTCCTCACAGCAGTTCCCACATTAATTTCTCTACTCCAAGGTAGAGTGGGATAAACAACGATTATCTGAATTTCAGGAAGTAAAAATCTAAGAAGGATTAAGAGGTATAGGCAAAACAGATATGAGCTTTTTTTTTTTAAAGATTGGCACCTGGGCTAACAACTGTTGCCAATCTTCTTTTTTTTTTTTCCCCAAAGATTGACACCTGGGCTAACAACTGTTGCCAAACTTTTTATTTTTTTTTTCCTGCTTTATCTCCCCAAACTCCCCCTGTACATGGTTGTATATCTTAGTTGCATGTCATTCTAGTTGTGGGATGTGGGACGCCGCCTCAACGTGGCCTGACGAGCGATGCCATGTCCGTGCCCAGGATGCGAACCCTGGGCCGCTGCAGCAGAGCACGTGAACTTAACCACTCAGCCACGGAGCCGGCCCCTGAAGTTTCTGATTCAAACCTTAAGTTTGAGTTATCATAGCATAGTACAAAGAACCCCAAACTAGGAGTTAGAAGACCTGAGTGTGAGCCTTGATTCTGCCACTTAATTATCTGTGTGATTTTGAGCAAGTCATTTTGCCTCTGAGCATCCTTTTCCTCATCTTTACAGTGAGGTTTAAAATACATATATTTTTGCCTCTTATTGCCTAAGCTTATGGTGAGGGTCAAATGATATAACATCTGTGATATTACAAAGCTCTATGTAAATGTAAAGTAACATATACATATATATGTATGTGTGTGTGTGTATATATATATATAAATACTCAGCTGCTTTTCAATATTAGTTGAGTTTGACTAATATTTGATGGTCTAATTCAAGAAGCTACTCAACAAATATTTTAAGACACTGTGGAGTCGAAGATGAACAAATCATAGACTCTGCCTTGTAGGAATTCACATTGAAGGGTGGAGATGAATATAAAAAATAAATAATTACACAAGAAAGGAATAAATAAGGGAATAGAGGTGTATACCAAATTCTAACGGAGTCCAACAAAAAGGCAAACTCATTCTACCTGAGGGGAAAGGAACAGATGTCAGATGACATAAGGACTAGGCTTACAGGAAGAGGTCAAGTTGCTAGAATTTTATCCATATACTTGGGCTTCATAATAGAACACAAAAAACACAAGACCTGTTACAACTAGCTCTGCCTTCGACAGTTAAAACCAGGACTTAACCTCTTTAGACTCTCTTACCACAATTCTAAAATGAAAGGTGTCAATAAGATGAACTCGTAAGTCCTTCCAGCTCTAAAATCATGATTCTATGAGTCAAACTCTGGTCATTGTACAGACACCAAGAAAGAGAACTCGAGAGAGTAATAAAACAGCCAGAACTATTAAAAAAGGAGTTCTCCCATTAATTACTTTGTCTTGGAATTGGAAAGTCTGAGAACGATATTTATCTCTACCTAGAATCCAGCACAGTGAAGAGTGGAAAGTGGAATGATCTCCAGCAGCTGAGAACCAAACAACGCAGGTGGACAGCAGGAAGTGAAGCATTCAGTTTAGCAAAGATGTTGCTTAGACCAGTAAGGAAATAGGCAGCAGACGGGAAGTTACAACGTTTATATTAAGAAAAACTTGGAATAAAACTATAACCAGATATTAAAATATGCACTTCCATAAAATAAGGTCGTGGTTGTTTGAAGTTTTGCCTTGTTAAACCACTTCTTAAAAAACTATTTGTATGAAAGGATGAGTTTAGGAATTATAAAGAAAAGGATCATAAACCTGAATAAACACAACTGAATTAGTTCCAGGAATGATACCACAGGTGGATACCGTCAGGTAATCCAGTTCACTAAACACAAATTAAAGTATGTTTAACAGTGCTAGTTGCTGTAAGACACATAGTTCCAGTGCTCAAGCGGTTCACTGACGTAAAAGCAAGACTTTAAGGAAGAGAGAACAGTAACTCTTACCCATCAATCATATTTTCAGGTGGGTGTTTTTCATCACTTGATGTAGCTAAAATCACTTCAGCCCCTTCAGAGCTCAAACAGAGATCAACTTTTCTCATCTTAAAGTGCTGAACCTGCAAATAAAACAATAACAAAAGCAACTTTTTGATTCTCTGAACTTTCTCTGAGAAAAGGAAGCCAAAGCCTGTTGCCTAGCACACAGCTTAACCACCAAGCTCTTCGACAAGTGGGAGGGGCTCTGACATGTTTATTTACATAAGTAAACGTCTGATGTCTCCCAGGGACAATCTGTAAGATATGACTATTTCCACTAGTCTACAAAACAAGTCCCTGACTATTCTGACATCATTTTCTGCTTCTAAAATTAAAAGCCCTCAATAATTATATGGAAACATCTAACAAGCTAAAGTGACACGAATTAGTGGGTAATTTTTTTTAAAGTTGTTTATATTGTTCTCTCTCTGAAATAAAAAAAAACTGAAGCATAAAAACAGATGCTTTGTGGCTGTTTATCCATACACTTGTCAAATGAAGTAGCAAACAATACTATTTACATCTTAAAAGACACCTTATCATCATTATTATTTTTTTGAACAGAAATGTAAAATAAGAGAGAAGCAAACATTTTACTTATTTTTAAATTCTAAGTCACTTAGGTCATGGACTTAAAGACATTTCTGTTGTATGGTAATATTTTAAGTTTAACAAAAGTATCCTGAAAAGATATTGTTGAGCTCTGCTATGGACCCTGGAGGGTGAGGCAGAAGGAAGACGAGAGAAGATTCTGTCACATCTCACTCACCCTCCTCTCTGGTCTGGTTGAGATGGGGCACAAACCAAAATATATATCGATGCAAAGTGACTGGGAAAGCTGTATCCAAAAAGAATTAAAACACAAAGAGTGTCTGGAAAAGGGAGGAAGGCTTCTAATACCCTTCATGCCTGAGCCCAGTCTAACTTTTTAAAAAATGAAATTATTTCAAATAAAAAGCGAAGTACAGAGAATAATAAATATATTAAACAACTTTGTACCCACTGCCCAGATTTAACAAACGTTAACATTTTACCATATCTACTTTTTTTTTTAGAAATAAGTAGCCTATTAGTGGCCCCATTCCTTTCCTTGCCCAGAGGTAACAGCTATCCTGAAGTGGATGAATATCCCTCCTGACTATATTTTTATACTTTTACCATATATGTACCCATAAACAATATGTACTGTTCTTTCAAAACTTAGAGGGTTTCACAGGGCATATATCCTTTGGCTACTTACTTTTTTTATTCAATATTCTTCTCAAGATTTTATCATGTTGATATATGTAAATCTACTTCATTCATTTTAACTGCTGTAAGGTATTTCCCCACTTCTCTAAGGAAGGGTATTAGGTCAGTTTCCAATTTTTTTGCTATTATAAACAAATTTGCAGTGTACATCTTTGTGCACATATTCTCATGCAGAAGTGGTAGAAAGTCTTTAATGATAAAAGAGTCTCTCTTTATAGAAGCAAAATCATAGAAACTTGGAATCAGCATATCTTCAAGTCAATAAATGATCGATTTGATCTCTAAATTATAACAATTTACATTACCGTCAACAATGCATGAGAGGGCTTCCTCATAATTTCACAAACGTGGTATCGTTAAGACATTTGGGCTTTAGCCAGTCTCACTAGTGTGAAATGGTATCTCAATAAGGTTTCAATTTGTATTACCATGATTACTAGTGAGGCTGAATACTGTTTCATGCGTTTATCGACCATTCAGGTCTCTTCTTCTGCTATTTGCTTTTTCTTATTCTTTGCTCATATTTCTGTTGGGTTGCTTTTTTTTTTTTTTGGTCTTTTCTTTCTGATTTGTAGGAATTTTTCAAATAATATATTTTGGGGGGCTAGCTCCGTGGTGCAGTGGTTAAGTGCGCACATTCTGCTTTGGCGGCCTGGGGTTCGCTGGTTCAGATCCTGGGTGTGGACATGGCACCATCTGGCAAGCCATGCTGTGGTAGGTGTCCCATACATAAAGTAGAGGATGATGGGCACGGATGTTAGCTCAGGGCCAGTCTTCCTCAGCAAAAAAAAGAGAATTGGCAGCAGATGTTAGCTCAGGGCTAATCTTCCTCAAAAAAAAAAATATATATTCTGGATGCAAATCCCTTGTTACATATGTTGCAAATATCTTCTCCTACTCTGTGGCTTGATTTTTCTTTTTAACTTTGTTTTTTTGTGTAAGAGTTCCCCTCATCCCCATCACATACTTTCTTTTTTGTTATTGAACTATAACATACATACAGAAAAGAACGCAAATCATAAGTGTATAGCGCAATAAATTTTCACAAAGTAAACACACCCAGGTAACCACCACCCAGGTAAAGAAATAGAACATTACCAGCACTTGAGAACCCGTCCTTATGCCTCCTCCCAAGCACTACCCCTCCCTCCCTCCCAAAGGTAAGTATGGTCCTTATTTCTAACACTATAGATTAATTTTGCCTGAACTATATAGATGTATACATATATAGTTAGGATTATATATATATATAGTCATATATATACAAGGAATATACACTTTGTACTTGTTGGTATCTGGCTTCTTTCAGTCACCATGTTTTGAGATTTATCCAGTTGTTGTTGCACCGAAGTGCAACTAAGTAAAGCTGCAACCCAGCCCCACTCACCTCAGCTCCTGATAAGATAGAAAGAAATCAGCCCCTCAGTGGAGCTTCACAGAACACTGGATAGGAACTGAAAAGCAAAGAAAGATTTCTGCAATCTGGAGTACTTAACTCAGATCCCAAAGCCCTAATGAAGGAGGGAAATTATTTCACTCCCAAATATCTGCAGTCAGAGGTAAAGTGAAACTATTCAAATAAAACTACAACGCAGTCCAATCCCAGCACAATCTCTCGCTGGACTGAAGTGATTTGCCCCTTATCCTAGCGACGAGACCAAGAAAACTGTGTGATTTCTCTGGGAAAAAAACATTATCTACTTCAGCGTCTATTTTTTTTTTAAACACGACATCCAACATACAAAGTCACTTGAAGCAGATCTATAGATGACCCAGGTGCTGGAATTAGCAGACAGAGATAAAGATAACTACCATAAATCTGTTAGAGAATGTAGCGAAAAAAATGGACAAACTGGGTGAACAGAAAGAGAATTTTGGAAATTCTAAAAAAGAATACAATGGAAATTCTATAACTTAAAAATACAAAATCTGAAATAAAGAATTCATTAGATGGGCTTACCGTCAGACTGGACCGAGCAGAAGAAAGGGTCAGTGAACTTAAAGATAGGTCAGTGGAAATGATCTAAAATGAAAGAGAGAGAAAAAATATGAAAACAAAAAAACAGAGCACCAAATATCTAGAAAACAATATCAAACTATCCTGAAGTATACATAGTTGGAGTTCTGGAAGGAGAGGAGAAAAAAATAGTGTGGAAGAAAAATTTGAAGAGATATGGCTGAAATTTTTCCAAAATCTATGAAAGACATAAACCCACAGATCCAAGAAGCTCATGAACTCCAAGCTGCATAAATACAAAGAAGATCCTACCTAGGCACATCTTAGCCAATTGCTGAAAATTTAAAAAAGATTAAAAATTAAAATCAGTCAAAGCAAAACCATATTGCATTTAAGAGAACAAGAATCAAACCTGACTTCTCATCAGAAACAATGGAAGCCAAAAGACAATGGGACGACATATTTGAAGTGCTAAAAGACAAAATATAGAATTCTATAGCCAGCAAAAATATTCTTTGAAAGCGAAGTGAAAATAAAGACATTTTCAGGCAAACAAAAGCTACAAGTATTTGCTACCACTAGACCTACGCTACAAAAAATATTAAAGGAAGTTCTTAAGACTACAGGGAAATGATTCCTGGATCTGTTGAAAGGAATGAAGAGCACTGGAAATACCAAATATATTGCTAACGTAAAATAATATTTTAAAAATTTCTTTGTAAGAGTACTGATTCTTTAAAAGAAAAAAACAGCAATGAATGGTATAGATTTAATGGATATAGAAGTAATAAATACAGTAACAACACAAAAGGCAAGAGGAGGGTAAATAAGACTGTACTTTTTGTAAAGTACTTTTATAAAGTTCTTACATTGAACATGACTGAAATAATATTAATTCAAAAGAGACTAGGATGTTAAGGATGCATGTTGTAATCCTAGGATTAGAATAAGTCATCACTGAAAACCATAAAACAAAGAGTTACAGGAAGAAGGCCAACAGAGAAGAAAAAATGGAATACCATAAAAACAATTGATTAATCTGAAAGCCAAAAAGAAGGAACAAAAGAATAAAGACAAATAGGAAATAAATGGCAAGAAGATAGTTTTAAGCACAAATACATCAATTATTTCATTAAATGTTAAGAAACTAAACACTACACTATCAGACAATTAAAAAACCAAGCAGATACTCTTTTCAAAAGTCACACTCTAAATATAAGGATAAACAAAGTAAAAGGTTAGAATAAGATACACTAAGTCTCAATATCTGATAAGGTAAATTCCTCTACTTAATTTTCAAAATTGGTTTGGTTCTATGCTTTATACCTTGATTTCTAGAAACAGTTTTGTCAAGTGACAGAAAAAATTTTTTTTGAGATATTAACTGCAATTCAATTCCATTTATAGATTAATCTGGAGAGAATATCGTGTTTACGACAATGAGTCTTCATATCTATGGATCTGGCATAACTCTTCATTTATTTAAGACTTCTTTTAAGTCCTTAAATTGTTTTATAGTTTCCCTCAAACATATCTTCACTTCTTCTGTTAGATTTACGCTGAGATGCCTTGCAGGTTCTATTTCTACCATAAATGGGATCTGTTAAAAAATAACATTATTTTAAAAAATCTTATTCTTTACCATACAAGGAATATTTCTAACACCTCACCATTAAATGTGATGCTCACTGAAGGTCTTTTTTTTTTTTTTTCCTGCTTTATCTCCCCAAATCCCCCCCGTAGATAGTTGTATATCTTAGTTGCGAGTCCTTCTAGTTGTGGCATGTGGGATGCCACCTCAACATGGCCTGACGAGCGGTGCCATGTCCACGCCCAGGATCCGAACCAGCGAAACCCTGGGCCGCTGCAGTGGAGCACAAGAACTTAACCACTCAGCCATGGGGCCAGCCCCTCACTGAAGGTCTTATAGTTCACTAGATTATAGAAATTCCCTTCTCTTTCTAGTTTGTCAGTTCTTTTTCTTTTAAGCATGAATAAGGCACATACTCCAATATTTTTTATTTGTGCCTTTTTTTGCTTTTAATACTACTGATACCAGAGAACTGGTGTTGGATGAACACTGTTAACCTAACTTAGCTTGAAGAAAAGGATGGTGAATTCCTAGAAATACAGATTGATGAACTTGGATGTTAATTTTCTCAACAAAATTCTAAAATTATTAAATTTCATTATTAAAATGATGGTCTTGAAAAGGTAAACACGAAAGTAGTAAAATAGGAAGCAGCAGTAACATTAGTTCACAAAAGTTATACCAACCCTATATCTTTTGTTTGATGGAGTTACTACCAATTAGGGACATGTTCTGAACATTTCAACAAAACTTTAGACAAAGCTTCTCACGAGGGGCTGGCCCCATGGCCGAGTGGTTAAGTTTGTGTGCTCCACTTCAGTGGCTCAGGGTTTCCCTGGTTCGGATCCTGGGCGTGGACATGGCACCGCTTGTCAAGCCATGTTGAGGCAGCATCCCACATGCCACAACTAGAAGGACCCACAACTAAAATATACAACTATGCACTGGGGGGATTTGGGGCGAAAAAGCAGGAAAAAAAAAAGAAAGAAGATCTGCAACAGTTGTTAGCTCAAGTGCCAATCTTTAAAAAAAAAAAAAAGCTTCTCACAATATGTGGACCAGATATAGAAATGTGGGTTGGCTGATAGGCAGTACTTTTCATAGATATTTTTAACTCTCTGAATGGCTATACTCAAAGAATGATGATTAATGGAACAAAATGAATTGGGGAAGACCTCTATTTTTATCTCATTCCACATTTTAAATTAAGGAAGGGAAAAAGTATGCTTATCAATTTTGCAGATGACACAAAGCTGGGATGTCAGCTAATATGCTAGATGACAGAATTAGCACACAAAAAGATCTGAGCAAGCTAGAAAGATGGGCTGCAATGAATAAGATATTTAATAAGGATAACAGTAAAGGCTTATACTCAGACTTAAAATATCAATCACACAAGGATTGGTCTAGATTGGAATTGGTAAATTACTGCCTGAAAGTCAAATCTAGCCTGCCACCTCTTTTTGTATGGCTCATGAGCTTAGAATGCTTTTTATTTTTAAATTTTTAAAAAAATTGAAATAATGTTTTGTGACATAAAAATTATGTGAAATTCACACTTCAGTGAGAATGAATAGTTATACTGGAACATGGCCATGCTGATTCATTTATATATTGTCTATGACTACTTTTGTGGCACAGTGACAGAGTCGAGTAGCTGTGACAGAGACTATAAGTCTTATAAAGTCTAAAATATTTATTATCTGGCCCTTCACAGAAAAAGTTTGCTGATCTTTGATCAAGATGTGTAAAGCATACAGGTTTGGTTCATTATGAAGCCACCATAAGGCAAGAGTGTACTGTATCTGCCCCCAAAGGTAAAGGAATGTGGTCTTAGATTCTATCAATAGAGTTAAGGAGAAAC